ATGCATTCACACCGCAGGAGAACCATCTCCAGGATGCAGATACAAAGACACAGGTGTAACCATGCCAGGGTCTGGTTCAGGGTCCTGGATTAGGCTCACAGAAAGTAGCCTCGAGTACGGTTAAAAGTGTTCCCAAGCGTTTGGTCATAAAAGGCTGTCTGTGAAAGTTAAATACTCAGAGTTTTGCCAGTCAACCTGTTTTGCGACATCAACAAAATTGACCTTCCAATTGCTTGGTGGAGATTGCCCATATTGCCAGAAAAACAAGTCCTTCCTCCTTCCCAGCTTGCGGTGAACGTTGAGCAGCTCTTGTTGAGTTGACTTGGCTCTAGAGTCAATGAGTCGATGCAATCAGCTGGTTTCCCTTAGATAGAAAACTTTGAATCATTCTGACTGGTTGATCTGGTTGAACTGGAAAGAACTTTGAGATTAAATGTGTTGTTAATTGAAGCTACAGAAATAAACTGAATTGAACTGAATTTATGACCACAGGCTTTAGACTAATAAAGCAAGAAGAACAACCAAAGTTGACCCCATAGCTGTTTTAAAGCAGCAAAGACAACAAAAGAAACTGAAACTAAACTAAAACAGCTAAGTCTCCAAAGTTACAGCCCAGCAGAAGCTACTCTAGGCTGCCTTTTGGGATAAATGTCTCATAAATGTCCCAATGCTGAATTGTCACATGTTTTTTAGGCCCTTTCCCCGTCCTTTGCCTGATGATCGGCTCGGTGGTAACCAGGCTGGTCCCCGACGAAGGACCGGCTGCCAACATCACAGGGTTTGAAGGTCTGACGAGAGACGAACAGAGAGTGTTGGTGGCGTCCTCCATCACCTTCCTCGCTGGTATAATGCAGGTAGAAAAAGTGACTTTTCATATCTTCTGTGCCCCGACTAGCAGGAGAGATAACTAATAGGGAAAGACAGCGACCCAGCCACATGAAGGTTTAAAAATAGATCCAGACAAAGGTTGTTTTTCTAATTCTGACACTTTTATTGCCCTGTAAACGAGACGCGATTCAGACCTGGCAGAGGCCTTATCCCTGCTGAAGGAAGCAACTGATTGGATCAGGGATAAGAGCTGATGATTAGTAGATGCTGAGGGAAATAAAAGGTAGATGTTTATTTGAGCTCGGTCATATCTGACACACATTTATGGCACCTTTAAATGATCCTGTCTATTGCCCTGGCTGGAACATAGTATGCCTTAGCTAGCAACTGGCATGGTAGCACTGTTCTGAGATAGGGACCATGTGCTCGACAGGAGTCGCATGTTCATGGAGTAAAGAGACGGATGACCTTAGGCAGGTGCTGGCACTGCGCCCTCAACTAGTCACTTAGGGACAGAAATAAAGCACATAGACAAGTCCTATTTTAAGGTAATGCAAAGTAATGCAAAAGCTATTTGGTTGCTGTATGGACCAATGTATTATGATACCTTCTTTCTAGTATTTTAAAGACAAACACCTCTGAGTTTAACAGAAAATGGTCAAAAACATAGAAAATGTTGAGTAAACTGAGAGAAAAACCAAACTCTTTTCATGTCAGAGCTCAAAGGAAACTAAACGGATGGTGAAGAGTCATCCAGGTCAGAGTCATTCCAAAAAATGTAAAATCCACTAGACTTTTTAAAAATTTGAAGACGTTTCTTTTCCATCCAGGGAGCTTTTTCAATTCAAAACGTCAGAAATAGCGTTGAGGTCCAGGTTTTATAAAGCCCAACAAAGCCTTGTTTTTGGTTAGAAAACGTGCAAATAGAAACGGACAAACATTTCAATTTCTCGGTGATTTTGGGGCATTGCAAAAACCAGGCTTTGCTTCTCTACTGTATAAAGAAGAGGCATATTAAAGCTGGCTAATCTGGACCCAACCTGATTTAAAACATTTATAAATTACCGCATGTTGTCCGACGACAGTGTCTAACTTCACTTGCGCCTCTTCTCCTGTTA